TGACTCAACCACTTATAAATATAATATGAAGATTAAAAGACAAAGGTAACAAAATTAGCTATAATTATAATAAATAAACAGGTGATGCACAAATCAAAAATATGTAATACATGTCAAAATATGATCTAAGAATGAATTAAATTTAAATGCCTATCAGCTAGAAATAGACTGTTATAAAGATGAATATATAAGAAATTGTAACCATAAAGCAAAACATACAAAAATACATAAAAAATAAAGAGAAAGGTACCCAATCAAAATATTAAATAAAATAAAAAATTAAGAGGTCAAGAGAAGGAAGGAATAAAAAAGAATGAGGCAACCAAAAAACAAAAAAACAAAAAAAGAAGAAAATAGCATTAAACACCTATCAATAATAATTTAAATGCAAGTTGACTAAATGCTGGAATCAAAACACATAGGGTGACAAAATGGATAAAAAGCAAGATTCATCTATAGACTGCCTACAAGAGACTCATATTAGAGCAAAAGACACATACCCTGAAAGGGGAGCAATAGAAAAAACAGAAACAAAAAAAGTTGGAGTAGCCAATACTCTTAGGCAAAATAGACTTTAAAATAAAGAATGTAGAAAGAGACAAAGAAAAATATTACATAGTTTTAAAGGGATTAATCCAAGAAGAGGATATGACAGTTGTAAATATCTATGCACCCAACATAGATTTTAATACTATTAACTCAATGGATAGATCATCCACACAGAAAACTGATAAGGAAATAATGTCTTTAAATGCCACATTAGGTCATTTTGACTTAGTAGACATTTATAGAGCATTTCATCCAAAAACTGAAGATTACATAATTTTTCAAGTGCACATGAAACATTTTCCAGGATACCCTGTTTCCCCGAAAATATTAATTTTCGCTTCTTTCGTGTCTTATATTAATTTTTGCTCCCAAAGATGCGCAAGGTCTTATTTTCAAGGGATGTCTTATTTTTCCATGAAGAAGAATACGGTTCACATTTATTGTTAAATGAAAATAAAGGAAATTTATTACCTGTATACGGTACGGTAGTATGGTAGTTGTCAACACAAACCAGACAAACTGTGAATCCTACAGTATCAAGAATTTACTCATTTATTCAATGACAATCATGTCATCATCTTCTGGAACATCATCATAACAATCCAATTTCTGAATTTCCTGGTGAATATCTTGTGACTCCATTTCTTTCAGAATCAGTGGACCAAATCTCTCATGTTTAGCCAAGGGGGGCCTTATTTTCGGGGGGATGCCTTATATTTCACTCAGAAGGAAACCTGTAAGTAGGTCTTATTTTCGGGAAACATGGTAGAAACATATTAGGCCACAAAATAAGCCTCAGTACATTCAAGAAGATTGAAATTGTTTCAAGCATATTTGACCACAATGGCATGAAACTAGAAATCAACTATAGGAAGAAAACTGGAAATAATACAAATATGTGGAGATTAAACACATGCTTCTAGACAACCAATGGATCAAAGAGGATATCAAATAGAAAAAAACACACACACAAACTACTTTGAGACAAATGAAAACACAACTTTACAAATATATGGAATGCAGCAAAAGCAGTTTTTAGAGGAAAGTTCATAGCTGTACAGGCTTACCACAAGAAACAGCAAAATCCCAAATAAACAATCTATGTTTACTCAAAAAGGAACTAGAAAAAAAGAGGAGCAAACAAAACCCAAAGTAAGTAAAAGGAATGGATTAATAGAGTGGAAATAAGCAAAATAGAGAATAGAAAATGTCCATGGGAATAAGAGCAGGTTCTTTGAAAGGATAAATAAGCCTGAAGCAAGACTAATGAGGGGGGCCTCCCGTGTGTGTGTGTGTGTGTGTGTGTGTGTGTGTGTGTGTGTGAGAGAGAGAGAGAGAGAGAGAGAGAGAGAGAGAGAGAGAGAGATCAACCAAAGGACTTGTATGCAAATGTCCTTTGGTTGATATAACCATAACCTGTGGACACAGCCAGTAAAGGGGTGGGTGTGTGTGAGCGCATGTGCTGAGGTATTGAGTGGGGAAGAGATCAATGGGGGGGGGGGGGGGAGGGAAGAAGGATTTCATATAAACAATAAAGAATTTACAAAAATAATTGTAAAAATGATTTCACTGATATGTGGAATCTAATAAACAAAATAGAAACAGATTCATAGATACAGAGGACAGAGTGACAGCCGTCAGAGGGTCGAGGGGAAGGGGGAGGGTGATGACCAGAGGGGAAGGGTGGTGGGAGCAGGTAGAAGAAGGCAAGGGAGGGATAAACGGTGATGGAAGGAGACTAGACTGTGGGTGGTCTAGGCCTAGAGCTTTCCAGGGATTGTGCTGCTGCCCTCGTGGATCCTATTTTTCACTACACGATGAAGGGCTTGTCCTCTGGATCCTATAATGGGATTGGCAAGAAACACATGACAAATTCAGTGCTACACCTCCATTCCTAAGCCTTGAATTTTTAATTTATTCATTAAAAAAAAAAGTTCTTTATTGTTGAAAGTATCACATTTGTCCTTCTGCCCCCCACCCCCTTGATCCCCTCCAGCCCACCCCATCCTCCCACCCCTAGGCCTTCAGCACCTTATTGTCTGTGTCCATGGATTATGCATATATACATACAATGTCTTTGGTTGATTACTTCCCACCCACTCCCCCCTCCCCCCTTTCCTCTGAGATTCCACACTCTGTTCCCTGCTTCCATGAAGTTGTGTCTTTTCAGTTTCATTAAACACCACCCCCCACTGTTCTTGTTTTATGCAACCAAATGAACAAACTATTAGTGCTTCCAAGTCTCCCAAGCAAGCATGTTGAATCCAGAACCTAGGATGGGTATACCTGTATCATTACATTTGTGACCCTCTCTCTCTGGACCATCGCCCTCTGAATATATTCACTCGTGTATTTCATGACCTTCTGTCAGCATTATTCAGCTTTGTAATCCCACTTTCTGGGCATTGGTCCCTAGAAAATAGCTTGAGATATAGATAATAACACCTTCCAGTATTACTCATAATTGAAGACACACAACAACTTAAGCGGTAGCTCAGGTAATTCACACCTGACCTAATTTCACACCTGTCATTGACATTAAATGTAATTTTTAAAAAGGATTTTAAATTAGTGGGGCAAATGCATCTGCTAAAATGTTAAATGAGGAAAAGATACTGTATATGTGTATATGCATAATGTGATCACAATTCAAAATATGTGTGACAAAAAAGAAGCTTTTTAATTCCTATAGCATGCAAACAGCCGATTAGTTCTGAATCTCTCCACATTTATTTCTAAAAGAAAATAAAAGTAAACATCTCAAAACATTTTTAATAAATGTTCCCAAGAAGGTATATTCTAGAGCAGGGATGGGGAACATCCAGTCTGCGGGCTGTATAAGGCCCGTGAAACCATTTGGTCTGGCCCTGCCAAGGCATTAGGGGTGAGTTTGACCAAATATAGCAGGCTAATTTTTAAGTTGGTAGTTTTATGATGTTATAAATATCCAAATGGCCCTTGGCAGAGGAAAAGTTCCCCACCTCTGTACTAGAACATTATAGTAAAAAATGGTACCAAATTCAACTTCTATCAACAGAATAGATTAATTTTTGCTCCCAAAAATTAATTGATTGTGATGTAGACAATCAATGGAAATGAATAAAATAGAATTACAGTTGTGAGTGTAGTTGAAATGTAATATGGGCCCTCAAAAAAACCTATATTATGTATAATAGTCTTTATATAAGTTTTAAAACATGCACACAATTTTGTATATTTTTGGAACGTATTAAAATTACATGAGAAATATAAACATCAAAGGAGAGGGAGGAGAATATGATTAGGAATAAGGATAGAGGTGGCTCTTTTGCATGTGAAAATACTTTATCTCTGTGATATCATAGAAAGATATTTGGTCTTTTTCTCCAGTCCCTGACGTGGAGCTGCTAAATCCCTAGTAGTTCCCTGAGTGACAGTTTTGACAGAATGTCTTTTGCTTTAATAAGGAGATTCTTGGCAGGCTCCTACCTAACTTCAGGATGGAGGCCGGTCATCAGAAAGACCAAACCTTGATCAGAAGCCTGAAACTATCATCCCCACACCCCAAACTCCAGGGAGGTAAGATGGGTTGGAGATTGAGCTAATAACCAATCATGCCTATGTGATGAAATCTCCATAAAATGGGGTTTAGATAACTTCTGAGTTGGTGACCACATCTCATGTGCTGGGAGAGTGGCACACCCTGCTCCAGAGGACAGACCTCCTGCACTTGTGTCTTTCACACCCCTCCTTCCACCCAATACGAAGTTGATGAACTAAGCGAAGTCCCACCTTTGGACTAGGATTGCTGGCTCCCGCACTGTCCACTGTACCCCTAGCAGGGCTACGACGTTCCACGCTGAGCACTTGAGTTTTATTCTAATCCCATATTTAGGATTGACCCCAATTCCCCATAAGGCCCCCTTTCTGATGACGTAGTTATGATTCTGGACCGCATAAGCCCTGATTTCTCTCTTTGCCCCATGTTGTAGGCCTGAGGCTTTCTTAAATTTCCATTCTGAGTTCCCATTCTAGTAGCCAGTCTATTTTCTTCAAGTTCTTAATGAAGCCTGGAGCCCTGGCTCTTTTTGCGCCCACCCCTGTGGACTGTGGTCCCTTCAATGAATCTGAGCTTCCAGACCCAGGGCTGTGCTGTTCTCAGGGAGAGAGAGAGACATAGGCTGCCCGATTCACTGTTGTTGCATGCTCTGTGACCCTCTCAGAGGCGCTGGCCAACCATTTGCCTGATATGCGGGATCAGCAAGGATGATGAAACAGACTCCACCCTGGGAGCCGCCAGGTCCGTGCTCTTACTTGGAGCCTGACTTCTGGCAGTCTCTGTCCTTGGGGGCAAGCCTAATTCTAGGTGCTAGCCCCACCCAGTCTCGCCGAAGGATTGGAAAGAAAACTTATATAAGATTTTCAGAGTTCCTTTCTGTTGAGGGTGGTAGTCATAGGACCTCTCAGAGGAAGTATGGGTTTTCTTGTGTCTTTCTGTAATTAATTCATTTCCTTCTCTAAGGTGGATCCTGTTTTATTGGGTAATTATTTGTTATTTTTTTAATCCACACCTGCCCTGATGCATCAGAGTTGATTTTTCATCAGTCATTTTAATTATTTCTCAGGGTTATAAAGGCATAAGGGGCAATGCATGTGTTGAAAAACATTCTTGGAGTTAAGCTTGTAGTATTGCAAACTCAAAAATGGACAGGAAACATGGAAAATACGTAGTAAATGTTGAACAGTCTGAAAATCAACCGGTGAGTATTGTTGCTCTATTTTAAAAGTTTGCTTATGTGACAGTATTGTTTTCAGCATTTAAGAGCAATCTAGTCTCTTTACTACTATGCAGTCAATGTCATAATTTTGCATTCTTCTCTGAAAGGAAGAGTAGCCATGTATTATATATATTTGCCTCAACTTTTCATGCTATATCCTACTATTTATACTTTAGAAATTATTTTATATAGTTACTGATATAAAGCATTAGAAATATTTCTATGATCACACAATATGTGAATAAGTCTATTTAACTTTCTATATTTATCCTCTTCATTCAACAACTTTGGTTTCGTTTTGAGATTGTATTTTATGTATAATTTATAAATCCGTCAGAACTCAGATTTGTAGGTGTGTTGGAAATCCTGCTATGAATCCTGGATATTGTCTTTAGACCTAAGAAAGAAATCCTCTAAACATTTCTACTTTGTACAAAAGTATAATCTTTTGTCTGTTTTAAAATGTCTTCCACCTGGAATCGAGCCTTCACTATACTATAGTTAAGTGCTTTTTATGTAGCTGGTTATGTCTCAACCAATAATCTTCGATGTATATTTGCTAAAAATTAAAATGGAAAGTTAAAATTCACTGCCTGAAGCATAAGTGAAATGTTTTGCCTTTGTAATTTGGAGCGGTGTCTCTCAGCCTGTATTCATGGCCTGCAATATAAGCCAAAGAAGAAAGTGCTGTTGCTCAGTGTTAAGGGACTAAAAGGATTCCCATAGTGATTCCTGGCTCACCAGAAGAGAAGGGATTTGTCTTGAATCATTGAACAAAGATTGTTCTCTTTGTCTCTTCTGAGTTTGAGATACTAAGATTGGGTCTTCAGGATGCTGGAACATGCAAATGGAAAAAAAATCCCTTTAGCCAAATATTCATCATTTTCTTAATAGTTTCTCTAGATAGCAACAAACTTGAAGATCTTTATAGATATTTTCTTAAGTTGTTTTTATAGTATGTATCTGGACAGCTGACTTTCACTTTACTATGGACATTTAGAGCATAGCTATAAATATATTTTTCTCTGAAGACTAAATTTAATAATGAACTTTAAGGATTATTTGAAGATTATAAATCAAAAGAAAATAAACTTTGGTGTTTTGTTTCTCTGTTGGGATGTAGGAGATCATAAATTAATCCTTATAAAGTTACTGGAAAAACATATAGAACATTCTTTGGTAACTACAGCTAATGCACTTCAGTTGCCTCTGGCTATTATTAACGAAGGCTGAATATTGGATTAAATGTTATTCCCAGTTCTCCAACTATTCCAATTTTGTATAGAAACTCTACCTGTACTAAGACTCAGAGAAACCTAACACAGTAAAAATATTACTCAGAAGCCAAGCCTAGATTATAGGTTCTGCACCCTTAGTGTATATGTGCTGCCAAAGCGAGTACCACTTATCATCTTCCTTTTCTGAAAGGGATGGGATTTTAACAGGGCCAGTACATTCTAGAAAACGGGCCTGGTGAGTGAGTTTTACTTTGTTTACAAAGTGTGCTAAAATATCACCAGCCTTTGGCAAATTGGGTAATAACTAAAGCAACAGAACCAGCACTTAGGCAAGGTTGTTATTAAAGGAAAGTCCAACTTTGCTCAAATTTACGTAGTGAATAACATGGGCTTGGTTAAATCTTAATAAAGCATAGAGCTGTTTTCTTTATTTCCTTGATATATAGCATTTAGAAAAAGCTAACCTAGCAAACACTACTGCCGAGAGCACCTCATCTTATCTGTATTAAATAACAATGATTTTTTTTTGCATTGTTCATGACAGCTCCTAATAGACAAATGGCCACATACAATCCAGTTTGACAATATTATGAAACTTACTGGTGGTTGGAGTAGCCATTTTATAGCTATCTAGTAATGTTCAAATCAACATGATTGAAGACAAGTAGTAGTCGTAACAGTAGGAATGAAAACATGAATACTAATACTAACAACAGCAATAGCTAACAGTTATTGAGTGCATACTCTATGTCTGACTGCTTTAACCCTTTGGAAGTTATTTACTCATAAATCCTCACAGCAAATCTCTGAGTGGGTATGTTAGTGTCCTCCGTTTGCAGACAGGCCAGGAGAGGTAAAGATGCCTTTGACTTATAGCTAGAAAGTGTTATTATTCCATGAGTTGAAGAGCCCCGGATGATTCCACAGTATTTTTGAGATGTAACAAAACTTTTGATCAAAATCCATAAATTCCTGAACCTATTTCTCTCTCATTTTCACTTTATCTTGTTCTTCTGCTTCTTTTAGCACACCTCTTCCCCCAAATATTTGCCACTGAACTCACCCATGTTTAACTTGTATCACACCTTTTTCTCAACAACATTTTGCATTTATTGTATTATTTGTTAATGATGCACAAATCTCTTTTCTCTCCCTGTTATAGGAGCATATAAATTCCCAGAGTAGAGACCTTTTTACCCTTTATGCCCAAGGGGAAGCCAGCAAAGCCATATTACAAACTGGACAAATGGTTTGTCATCTGTGTCCCTGTCCTGGGCTTGCAAGTTCTATTGTGTAGAGCATGGCATGGGTCATGCAAAGTTTCTTTGTATGATCATTTTTATTAGTATAGTGTAGTATAGAACATGTTATATTAATCTATTATCATACTTTAGTAAAACAATATACTATATGTAGTTAGTGGAATGAAAAGTACACTGACCTTAACCCTTGGAGGCATGGACCCCAGTGCTTGCTATTATGTTTATTATGGGGTAATAATAATAATAATAATAACAACAATAATAAATTCAACACTTTTTGCTTCAAAATCTCATTACCAAAAATGACCATTAATAGGTTTTACCTGATAAGCTTCAAGCAGTTCTTTTTTTAAATTCTAACATTTATTCCTTGTATAAAGAGAAGCTTCCTCATATATGCTCCACCTACAGTAACTTGCAACATGAGGGTATCTAACACATGCTTGTAATATGACGGAGAAGAGGAGATGATACACATTTCTGATGTAGAACATCAGTCGCTTACAAAAATTGGCTAAAATGTGATGTTTAGTAATCTGTCTAGATTTTTTTATTTTCATAGAATAATAAGAAAAAGTTTATTTATTTTGGAAGTCTTTATTCCCTTTAAAAGTCACATTATTGTTTATTTTTAATATAGTTTAATTTGATAAATATATCACCATATCTTCATATTCACTTATGCTTTATCTCCACAGTCAATCACATGTCCAAATGACCAAGAGGTTCATAACTCTGCATGCTGGCATCCACATTCAAGTGACATAACCTGTGATATCTCTCCCAACTCAACTGGGGTCTGTGTGGGCCCAGGAGTCGTTGGACATTCAGGATACCAACACACAGAATCAGCCCAAACTCAGGTAATGTTGTATGTGTTTCAGCTTTTACTCAGGTTGGGACGTGCCCTATATGGGAATGTATTTGTTTTATTCTTTCCCAGGAAATGTATTTAATCATTTAATTCACCCACATTCATGGTAAGCCTTTACTATATTAGCTGTAAAAATTATAAGTCATTGTTAGGCAGATCATAAGAAGGAAAATACCTTGTAGTCACTGTTTTCAAAAGGCCAGTGTCCTAGTTGGGGACTGAAGTATTCCCATATATAGAGAATATATGTGAAATTCAAAGGAATAAATATAAAGTACAAATGCAGGGTTGAGGAGGAGAAGAGGAGCACATATGTTGGCAGTGTGCAGCTTAATTCACCAAGTAGTCTTCGATGGGAGAGTGGTTCATGGTTAAAGCGTCAAGGGTCCTACTCTATTGGTGAGTGCTCACTTTTCTTACATTGTTACAGCTTCTGAACATGTTGGTGGCACTTTCTTTTTGTCTCCTTTCTCTGGCACGTATGACCTTGATATAGAAACCTGGCTCTGTTCTGCAGATTTTTTCCACTATTTTTGGAAACTGGACTCAGCTCTCCTTGGTATGTGACCCTATTGGTTGGCTGAATGAACTCCACCTCAGGACTATACCAGTATCTCTCAATCTTCACCCCTAGCTTAGAAACTTGACCTTCACTATAAATTGCTTATTCTGCTTGGAAGTTTGGCTGGGTTCCCCTGACTCTAGAATTCCTACCCTCTGTTGCTTAATCTTGTTGTAAATGAGCAGTAGAAGGAGTCTGAATCTTGTTTGTCGATCTTAGGTTTAGAGTGAAAAGAGACAAGGGCCTGAGAATGTCAACAATAAAGCCCCTAAGAGCCTTCAAAAGAAACCGAGAAGAAGATTCTAGGGGTTTCGGAGGAAATCAATGAGAATGGAATATCACAGAAGCAAAGGAAAGAGACTATTCAATAGAGAGAAAGAGAAATGGCCTCCAGTGGCAAATGTTACTGAGGGTGTAAATAAGAGAAGAGCTAAAATAGATACTTCTATTTTAATGAATGGATGTCCCTGATGACTTTATTAGGAAGCATTTCATGGCATGACAGAAGCAGAAGCCAGACTGACTTGGATTGAAGAGTATGCAGACGGAGACATTGCATTTAGACAACTGTTAGGAAATTTCATTTTCCAGAGAAAGAGAAGTAGCTAGATAGAATTTGGAATCAAATGATGCATTTTTTGTTTGTTTAAGATGGGGAGAGATTTGAGTGTGTTTAAATGTTAAAAAGAAGAATCCAACGAAGAGGAAAGTGGTGAAGTAGTCGGTCCAATAGAAAGGGGGAATCAAAAGAAAAGCAAGCGTAGAGCGGGTGGGACCGAATGACAGATTGGCAGATCTGTGTAAGGCAGGAGGAGGGGTTGCTACTCTTGTGTAAATCAGGGAAGAAAGAGAGGTGGAGCCCAGGCATGTTTGGGTTTGCAGGTTTGGGACTTAAGGGGTTTTGAAAGACTTTCAGTTTGAGGCCCTGGCTGGGAAGTTCAGTTGGTTAGAGCAATGTCCCAACAAGTGAAGGTTATGGGTTTGATCTCCAGTCAGTGCACATGACAAGGAGCAACCAATAAATTCATAAATAAAAGTATAACAGCAAATCAATGTTTCTTTCTCTTTCTCCCTTCCTCTTTCTAAAATGAATCAATTTAAAAAAGGTTTTCATTTGGTAGTTTCAAGTTTCCTAATGAAGTAGGAAGGATGTGAAGTCATTTCATGGGAATGAGAAGGGAAAATATTGATAACCAGAATGGTGAGCCGAAAAGTTTCCCAAGGGTCGTGCCTTGTAACACCAAAAAAATGAGCTCTAGGGACCAGAAGATTTAAGCAAAAGTGTGGAAAATTTATTACAAGCAGATTCAGACTCCCCTCATGGGAGTGGGGAACAATAATGGGCTGCCCCCCCCCCTCAAGCCTTGTAGTCCAGGAGTATATATTTGCAACAAGCCTACTCTATGTCTATCTATGTTAATTCCCTCAATTGTTCTTGTCCAGCAATGGACCTGAACTCTCTCTGTTTATGTGTGCCAGTTTACTTTATTGTTGCAGACCCTCCCTTGGTTTTCCAAGCCTCCCTCTTTGAGTCCAGAAATATTTTATTATTTCTTCTTGGTTGGTTTCTGTGATTAGGCTTGCTCAAACTGCCATGTCTGTCCCTGCCTGTGTTCCCCCTGTCTTTGTTTCCCACTGGACCCCTGCCCTGTCTGCCTGCATTTCAAGTTAACCCTCTCAAAGTATGTGTGAAGGCTGGAGGGTGAAGATTACAAGTTTGAGGAGAAAGAAGATTGAGAAATATAATCTGAGAACTACACAGTGTATATCCTATATAATAAAAGGATAATATGTAAATTGTCCCCTCCACTAGGAATTTGGCCAGCAGGCAGGCTGGCCAACTGCCCATCTCCTCTCCTCCTGGCCAGGCTGGCTGGACCCCACCCATGCACGAATTCATGCATCAAGCCTCTAATATATATACACTGAGTGGCCAGATTATTATGATCTCTGAACACTGGGTTGAAATTTAAAAAATGAAAAGAAGAAGCTGTGTAAATATATATACTGAGTGGCCAGATTATTATGTGTTCAGAGATCATAATAATCTAGCCACTCAGTGTATATATATATATTAGTAAAGCAGCCTATATATATATATATATATATATATATATATATATATATATATATATATAGGCCCAGTGCATGAATTTGTGCATGAGTGGAGTCTGGACAGCTTGGCCAGGGGGAGGAGACATGGGCGGTTGGCTGGCCTGCCTGCTGGCTGAACTCCTGGTGGAGGGGACAATTTGCATATTAGCCTTTTATTATATAGGCTATACACTGAGTGGCCAGATTATTATGCATTCAGAGATCATAATAATCTGGCCATACAGAGTATAATAGGATGGCAGAGCAGTATAGAAAATCCATTCAAGAATGGTGATCATACATTTATCCTGACTCTGCCCAGCCCAGGTGCTTGACTTTCCCCAAAGTGTGACTGCTCAAGGGCAGGTCCAGAGAAAGTAGAATGTCACGTGCTTGCCAGATAAAAGAAATGAAAAGAAGAAGCTGTGGGAGGTTTTGGGGAATTAGTAAGTGCTATTGAAATAATGGAACATAGAACAAAAGGTGGATAAGGAGGGATATAAGTGAAGCAAGGGCTGCTGAGCTGAAATTAAAAAAACACACCACACAATCTTTATTGTTGAAGGTATTACATATGTTCCCTTTTGTCTCCCACTGACCTCCTATAGCTCACCCTCACCCCTTGCTCCTCACCCCTTATCTCTCACCCCTCACCCCAGGCTTCCACCACTCTATTATCTATGTCCATGAGTTATGCTTATATGCATACAAATCCTTTGGTTGATCTCTTCCTACCCATCCTGGGCTGAATATTTTAATAAAAGTAAAGAAAGGTTATTATACGAATAACTGAACAAACAAGATAGAAGGAGAGGAGATGGTGGTTAGATTCTTGAGGAAATGATGTTGGAAATGGAGCAGTCGGGGTAATGACAATGTCCAGTGGAGAATCAGGAGTATGGCAGAGAATTTCTTAAAATGCCATTCTGCTTACATGAAAAGGTGAAGAACCCCCTACCCATTAATGAAAAATAGAATAAGAGAAGATGAGATATTAGCAGATTTTGATTTCTTCCAAAGTTAGAGAATGCATGCAATTAATTCCACCTGGATAAAACTTGGACTTTAAGCCTAAATATCTTCAGAGACTATAAGGATTCAAATAATGTTAAAGCATTGAATTGTATTCAATACAAAGGGGATGATAAATCAAAAGACTTTTTGCTTTTATTACTAATATTTTCATTGACACTCTTAGGTGAAAGAAAATTGCTGCTGTAATTGGACTCTGTGGAACATCTTTTTGGCTTGTTTCTTAGCCTGTGTGATAACAACAGCAATTGGAGTACTCATAATCTGCCTGGTGAATAACAGAGGAAATGATAACTCTTCCATTATTATCAAGCTGTCCCCAGACAATGGAGAGCCTGTAACTGCTATCCATGGAAAAACCTCTGCTGGTCCTCAACCTATAGTGACCACCATGTCAACTGAATCTACAACTGTAGCCACTTCAACAGACTCTACAACCATTTCAACATCTACTGAATCTACAGCCACAATAGCCACAACCCCCACTTCAACTGCACCCACAACCTCCACACATTTAACTGAACTTTCTACTACAACAGCCATCACTCCTACTTCCACTAAAACCACAGGTACCTCCATTTAAATGGAATCTACAACAGTTGCAATTGTAACATAAAATTAAAAAAATATATACATATACATACATATATATATATATATGTATGTATATTGATTTCAGAGAAGAAGGGAGAGGGAGAGACAGAAACATCAATGATGAGAGGGAATTATTGATCAGCTGCCTCCTGCATGCCCCCTACTGGGGTTTGAGCCCGCAACCCAGGCATGTGCCCTTGACCAGAATCAAACCTGGAACCCTTCAGTCTGCAGGCCAACATTCTATCTACTGAGCCAAACCAGCTAAGGCTGTAACATAAAATTTTGATAAAACTTTATCTTGGCAGACAACCAAAACTATCATCACTTTCACCATCTCTTTTAATGTACAACTATATTTACTTTAGTTGAATCTACAACCACTACCATGTCCATTCAACCTACAATGACTGTAATTTCTACTTAGCCTACAATAACAGTAGTCATTAGTCTCCTTCATCAACCTGTAACCTACAACTATAAATGCCATATGATCACTTTACATAATAGAACTACCATCAGGCATCAAAATGTTCTCTTTTGTGGCAAGTTAACCTTTAGTTATCTTTACAGATTAACCTACAACTGTCTTCTCCCACTAGCTTTTCCCTCAAACTGTAGCTACTGCTTCTGCAATTGCTGAGTAGATATTTACTGCTATTTATATACCTCCAGTAACTTAAAGACATCATGGTAGCTACAATATTCACAAGACACTTGAAGACATCATGGTAGCTACATTATTCACAAGAATGTAGACAGTGAATAATAGAATAATTACTTCAATCTTCACCAAATCAACACTGAGGATTTCTAAATGTATTAAAACTGTTTTTAAAGAACTGCTATTGGTGCTATCATTCAAAATAACATAATTTCATATAGAAAAACTAACCCAAATTGTTCATCTAAGAAATATTAAAGAAGTTTTATAAAAAACCTTATGATAAAATTATCCATTTAGATTTTAATATGTATTATTTTTAGTTCAGAACATTGCTCTGTACACAAATTATATACATAATAAACATTATGTTACAAGAAATTCACCAGGAAATTCAGGAATTGGATTGTTATGATGATGTTCCAGAAGATGATGACATGATTGTCATTAATTAAATTAGTAAATTCTTGATACTGTAGGATTCACAGTTTGTCTGGTTTGTGTTGACAACTATCGTACTACCGTACTACCGTACCGTATACAGGTAATAAATTTCCTTTATTTTCATTTAACAATAAATGTGAACCGTATTCTTCTTCATGGAAAAATAAGACATCCCCTGAAAATAAGACCTTGCGCATCTTTGGGAGCAAAAATTAATATAAGACACTGTCTTATTTTCGGGGAAACAGGATAGGTGCAAAATAAATCTACTTAACTGATTACATATATGATCAAGACCAGAATGTTTCATTTATCAAATAGTAAACAATATTTCCAAGAAGAACTTTAAAATTAAAGCTTCTGCACAAATTTTAAATCATTTAAAATCTTTGAAAGTTGAACCTAAAAGGATACTCATTGTTAATTTTAACTAGCTGAGTTATTTTAATTACTAGAGGCCTGGTGCATGGATTCATGCACTGGCGGGGACCCTTGGTTTGGCCTGCAGAGATTGGGCTGAAACTGGCTGTCTGACATCCCCTGAAGGGTCCCAGAGGGTGATAGGTCACTCTGTAAAGTTGCTGTTGCTCAGCAGCTCCTGCATAGAGCTTCTGCCCCTAGTGGTCAGTGCACATCATAGCTACCAGGTGATCTGTGGGTCAGCTGGTTGCCTAAGCTTTTACATATTAGATATGTACTTAGAAGTGGTGACATTTTAGTACATACGTTGCTAATTTAGATTTCTTATAATGAAAATTGATCTTCACTTCCCTCCTTGTTGCTCTGGTTAAGAATATTTTATGAGATGTTTAAAAAACATCACTGATTAGACCATTACATTTCTGATTTTGAGTTATCATTTTCCAATTCTTTCAGAGATCAATTAATCATCAGAATGATAAATGATCTGAAGCTTACTTGTAAATAAATACATATACTACTTATTTTATAAAGATTAAGATTTCCTCAGCCTGTAACAAAATTAGTCTTTAAAAATATACATTGAGGTGGCGGTCACTCACGGATCGTTTCATTGCGTCTGAGGCTTGTGGAACGGTGGGCCCAGAAGGCCCCACTGGCACCGGGGAGGTGCCGAAGTCCCAGTTTCCGCCGGGGAAATGCGGGGGGTGAGGCCAGCGGCTCCTCTGGGGACTGACCGAGACCGAGGCTGCCCATCCGGGCCGCCCCCCACCCGTAGAGCCCTATGGGGGCAGCCGCTTTGCCAAGGCGCCCGGTTGAGAACTATAGTAATCAGAGAAAGGATCCAAGATGGCTGCACAGGTAAACATCTAACCGCAGCTGCACACAACAATTTCAATAAAATACAACTAAAATATAAAATGGACATTGCCCAGAGCTACAGGAAGTCGACTGACTGAAAATTCTACAACAAGAAGGAAAGAGAAAACCAGAAGGAAAAGCAGAGGAGCTGTGAAAGCCTAAGGTACAGAGACATGCTGCATGCGTACGGAGAGGACAGAGCTGGAGAGGAGGGGGAGGCTGAGTACCTTGCTGGCGTTCCCTAGCAGGAAGGAAATAAAAGTCACGGACTGGTCTGAACCCCAGAACCGACAGCGCTGAACCCCAGTTCTAGGCCAGACTCTGGGGACCCAGACTCAAACAGAGGGAGACAGGGCTGTGAGGCGGAATCCCAGGGGAGTGGTGAAAAGCAGAGCCCCCAGAGTAGTGCACATTGCGCACAGAGGACGGAATGTTGTCTCTGATGCTAGACTGCCCTAGCGGGAAGGAGACAAAAGCTCCAGTCTGGGAAGAACGCGATGAGGAGCGGGAGCTGCTGCCGGGCACCAGCAAGCTGGGTGCCAGCAAGGAGCCGGGCGACATGCCCCCGGGGGGGGGGGGGGGGAATGCCTCTGGGCCCTCGACCGCTGATCGTGGGCCATGGAGCCAAGGCCTGAGGGCTGCTTTCTGGGAGGTGCTGACCCCGGCAACAGGCTGAAGCCACGCAGGAGGCTGCTGAGAACAAAGGGGCACCACAGGCCAGCCTGCTGAGCTTCCAGGACGAGGAGGAAGAAACCGAAAAAGTTTTCAATGTGAAGAAATCAAGTTATAGCAAAAGATAGTAAAATTACTTAAGAAAGAATACAAAGAAGATCTTGAAAAATCAAAGATTAAGACAGAACTCAACTCAGCAGCCAACATTGCAACATAAATGTGTTTTTTTTTTAAAAGGACAGAATGTTGGAAAGGCGGCGGCCAGGCCTAGAATGGCCAGGCCCAGGGCAGTGGCAGCCTGGCCCGGAGCAGCAGCAGCCAGGCCTGGGGCAGTGGCAGCCAGGACTGGGGCGGAGGCGGCCAAGCCCTGGGTGGCCAGGCCCAGAGCAGCCAGACCCGGAGCAGCTGGGCCCAGAGCAGCTGGGTCGGGAGCAGCCAGGCCCAGAGAGGCAATAGCTGGGCCAGGAACAGCCATGTTCGAAGCAGCAGCTGCCAGGCCCAGAGCAGCCGGGCCCAGAGCAGCCAGGTCTGGAGCAGCCCGGCACGGAACAACCAGGTTGGGAGCAGCCAGGCTCAGAGCAGCAGCATCCAGGCCTGGAGCGGCAGCGGCCAGAACTGGAGCAGCTGGTTGTGGAGCGGACCAGAGCAACAGAGGCCAGGCCCGAAGCAGTCGGACCCTCACTTGCCCATGCCCCAGGGCTGTTTCTCAGACATAGCTGGAAACTTTTGGGGGAAACTTGAAGGTCTGCTGAATCAAGTGATGAAGGCTTAGATCTGGATGTGTTGAGTTATTATAGCGCTGGGGTGTTGATCTGTGAGTGCCTTGTGTGGGGTCTGGATGAGGTTGGTTGATCTATTTGGAAATGTCTTTTGTGTGAAGTGTATCCTTGGGCATGTGGAGGTATTATTGATATGAGAAAATGCTAAGTAACTGATTTACTACCTGAAAAATGTAAAGTTCTGAAAGTTTGAGGTCTCTTGCCAAAAAGAGGTTTTAAAGCTAACACCTTAATTTCAATGGAGAAAGGGAAGGACAAGCCCTTCCCACCCAGAACAGATAATCCAATTCCAACCAGCAGCTATGTTTAAACACTGTGTCCATTTACACTTGAATGGCTACACCTTTTGATAGCCTAAGGGCAAGTTTACATGTAAACAAGTTTGCTTCTCAGTTCCCAGGGCAGAAAAAACAAGGTTTAATATTATTAGATTTTAAAATTTATTCTTAAAAATATAAAAGTTTATTAATTCAAAAAACACAAGGAAATTAAAAAACCTGATGAACAATATTAACTGTTGATTATAATAGAATCAGAGATACGGGAGGGGAGTGGACTGACAATTCTCGGGGAAAAGCTGAGTGAGGGTTCGGGAAGAGACTGAACCTAAACTGTGCACCTATGGATGAGGACAATGGGGGGTGGGGAAAGGGCAGAGGGTCGGGTGGGAACCTGGTGAAGGGGGGAAGAAATGAGGAACCTTTGTAATAATATGAACAATAAAGATTGATTAAAAAAAATATACATTGAACAAATGAGTAAGTGGTAGCTGATTTGTGTTATGTAAGATCCATGACAATAGACCTTCTGTATTACCTATTATTGTATCCACCTGGCATATAGTGGACTCCAATAAAATTTTATTTGAAATGTTTATATTTGAAGATAATTTTTAAGGCATGAATCTGCAAGAAAAGAACATTTAACCCTAAAAATGTTACTATTAAGAAAATACTTTAGACAATTTTTGTTTAAATTGAGTCGTTTTGATTCTTTTAATTTTTTTATAAGACTTATTTCCTACCCTTAAATAATGTACTTAATTATTTTCTGAATGCTTAAAGTTTCCATAAATCTGGAGTTCATAAATTCTCTTACTTCCTAGTGAAGATTTTAGGTCACTGTTGATCATTGGAAGAGGAGTGTTAGTGGTGGCAGGTGGGGAAAACAGCACTAAT